GATGTACACTATGGGCTCTGAAACGGGCACCTGAAAATGTGTTGGAGCAGGACACGAGAAAATGAACAGATCGACAGCCGTTTGCATTGGTTGGGCGGGTTTGGCTCAAAATAGAGGAATGGGTACAACGCCGTTGCCAGATCGATATGGATTTGAGTCATGAGGGAATCCCAAAGGGTGGAGTCTTCCTTTGGCTTCGACTCCAAACAGCCCGCTTGTGGCGGGGTCGCCGCTCAAGAGAACGGCCTTTGTGTGTGGGTGGAACACATGTTTTCCCATCGAGGCAGCTGTTGAGCTGGCAAGCTTGGGAAAAGCCTTTTGTTGGTAGGTTTCTTCATTCACCCCCCCCCTCCCCCAGCAAGTTCAGCCGCCTTTTCGGCCAGTCTCAGAGGCAATGCGACTTGGAGAACCCTTTTTTGGATCGGGGAGTGGCATTTGAGCCTAGCAACTTGCTGTTGATCCTTGTTTGTGACCACTGCTTGAATTTGGTAAGTTTTGGGGAGTCACACAATGGAGGTCAGGCATTTCCGCACGTGAGGCCAAAGCGCAAGCTTGAGACGCCTCCCGAGCCAGCCTGCAAGCGCCTTGAGACGGTGGAGGAGAAACGTCAGAGGTCAGAGGTGAACCTTGTCTTGGACCTGGGCTTGCTTGTATCTTTTAGCCGGCGGCCGGTGACAAGACAGAGGTAAAATATAGATCGACCACCCCGAAATAAGAATGATTGGTCGTAATTTTTGAGGAGTTGAACCGACCCTGTATTTCCTTGAAGGAAACAACAGCAACAGAAGAACAAGTCCAAGACACAGACAAAGCACCGCTTGGGCTAGATTATGTGTGCGGCAAGCAGTTGCAAACGTACCCTGTCTGTGGCTTCTTTTGCCCTGAGGACCCGCCCAACATGTTCCAAACGGGTTCCGATCGCGGACAATCAAAACCCGGGTAGATGACGGTTAGCAAGGGACAATCCCAACCACAAATAGCTGCGGCCGCCTTCTTCATTCTTTACCTGGTTCTGGGCAGACCATTTCTCTACCAGGTTTTGATTATGACTCATTTGCGGCTGTCTGTTTTTGGGGAACCCCTGCGTTTTTCAAGGCCTCATCCCCTCCACGGGTCACCCAACGATTCGATGTGCGAGGAGTTGGCCAAGATCGAGCAGGCGACCCCGCCCAAAGAGGCCGCGAAGCCGTCGCCGGCGATGCCGCCGTCGCCGGAGCCCGCTCGCACGGCGGCGCAGGCAGGGGCCGTGGCAAGGGAGGGGTCAAGGGGGCCCTATCAGCTTCCCTCGAAAAGGGTGGTTTGGAGTGGTGGTTTGGCGCTTAGGGCTGGGAAGCCGGCTTCATTCTCCCTCTACAAGAACTACAGCTTCAATTCCAAATCCACACCGCCAATGCAAACCGCCAACGAAGGGATACCTGACCCTATGTTTCTCTTGGGGATGTGCCATGTTTTCTTTTTTCTTTTCCGGGAGACATCGGCATGGCCCGCATAGGGAGTTTAGATCATGGGACATGTAAAGATTGACGCTGGTACAACCAAATCACGAATGCTCCTCCGTCAAGAAATGCCGTTTAAGTGAGCGCCCTGATGTCTGGCACCATTCCACCCTTCCAATTCGCTTTTCCGCTTTGCAGGAACAGCTCAACTTGGGTGTTGTTTGTTTCGCCCCTTTCCCTATCACACCTGCAAACAGGCTATAGTAGGCAGCCTACAACTCAAGCGGGATCCAGCATGAAGACATGCTTGCATCAACTGCACAGCTAGGGCGCCTTTGCCCCACTTCCCCCCCCTTTGGGTGTGGGGCAAAAAAAAACAGCTACCCAAAATGGAACCCCAAATTGGAAACAAAGACTAAAACATGCGGTTTTGGATGGGTGAATTTTGACTCATGCTTTTTTCCCCGTCCCTTGCTTCAACAAGCACTTCGTTTGGTCGTTCGGAGTGTGCCAGGGGTCGCCGCAGCCCACAGCCGGTCCAGGGCAAGGAACCCCCCCACGACAGGCGGGCGGTGGGGGCGCGCTGAACATGTTTTCATGGTAAAAACCCGAAGTGTCGTCTGTGTGTGTGTGTGTGTGTGTGTGTGTGTGTGTGTGTGTGTGTGTGTGTGTGTGTGTGTGTGCGTGTTCTTTTTTGCTTCCTCGTTTTTCTTCTGACTATGATGCCCAAGTTGGCTGCTGCCAGGTGTCTTTTTATGTGAAAGTGAACATATATTTCTGCGGGACGGGTGTACCAGGAAAGGTCTGGTCATCAGCTCGGAACCGACTCTGAGCGGGGTTTGCGGCGCCTTTTCTCCGAACATATTCGTGGAGTGAGCTGTAGTCTGACTTGGAGAACCTTGGAGGAGGCTGAGCCCAAAGAGACCAAGACGGAGCCTTGTGAGATCAAGCTGGTGAAGCCTGTGGCGGCACCCACAGGGTGTAAGCCTCTTCTCGACGACAAAGGAGGCGGGGCTGAGGGGCTTGGGAGCTGGCGGGGCAGCCAATTAGGACGTGTCTGTTTTTGAGGGTACCGTGTTTAGGTAGCTTTAAGGGGACATCAAAAGGACACAATTGCAATTTTGGGCAATCGGAGAGGTCTGTGGTTCTTCTTCATTGACGCCGTGGAAGACGACCGGTCCAGTCCCCCTCGCGTCTACCTCTTCGGGAAAGTCCTGTCAGCTTCGAAGGAGTTCGTTAGCTGCTGCCTGGTGGCCGCTCAGAAGGAGATTAGAGCAGCGGCTGCGAGGGAGCGGGCAACGGACCAAACGAAAAACGACTGGGCACCCTGCAGCACAGTCATAAGATGGAAACCAAGCAAGGAAGTCTATTGTCCGCTTGGGGAGGACAACACAAAAAGGATACCTTCAAAAAGACGCACATCCTGAACGGGCAGCCGAGGTCGAGAAGCTCGAGCGATGCGTTCATTTGCTCCTGAAAGGGAGCGAGGATGATGAGCAAGCGGCCCAGGAAGCGGCCCAAGCGGCAGACGCGGAGTTTGACGCCCGGCAGTCAATGGAATTGAACGTGATTTTACTCGAGACCCTTTGGCGGACATCATTTACATGGTCACGTTGTGTCCAGAAGTGTTGCAGGCAGACGAAGTCATGCTCTGCCACAAGTTAACATTTCACCCAACAAGGGTATCCCCCCAAAAAAGATTCCTCTACAAATCGTGGCCCTAGAATGTTGCCCGTACATCAACATGGAAGTACACAGACCCTCTTTGGAAGACTGCCTTGCGTTTGGAACAGGGTTCCTATGCACTTTGCTGTTCAGTCCATTTGCGAATTGACATGGAACCCAACAAAAGGACCCTGCAACATCAGTTCTACTTGGAGCCACCGCAACTTGGGAAAATGTTCCCCCAAACCCATTGACTTTTGGTGACGGCTATAAAGGCTTACATAGGCTTACCACAATCCTTGTCAAACCAGGTAGTAGAACCGCCAAAATAAAATTGCCTATAATATCTTGGGCACATCCCAGATGTATGGGGGATGGTTTTTAAGTTGAGGTGGAAATCAGTCCCGGGCTGGCGTTGTCGATGCTTCGTGTTTCTGCTGCTAGTCAGCCTGTGAGCCGCGGCTTCGGCGACGAGGTTGCCTCGCTGATCAGCTGTGGGGGATTTTGAAGTGGCCCACGTTGAAGCGTTTGTCGGCAGGAAGGGGACCACGGAAAGAACGCGACAAACAAAAAGTCAAAAACACGAAACAGAACACGCCACCCTATTTTCGAAGCATCCATGTGCCAATCATGAGCCTAGATTCAGATGGGTGCGCCTAGACTTGAATTCTTTGCTGGGATCCCCGTTGTGATTCACAACCACCGGGTTGTTTTTGATATCACGCCCCCTAGTCCTAGGTTCAATTTCTCTCATTTGGAGTGGGGATGCTATCTAGCAAAGAAACATCCGTAGCGGGGTATGAATCTGTGGAAATGCGTTGTTTTGGTGAGCTGCTCAAATGGGTATGTGTCAAAATTGCACCAGACGACCGCAGATTTTAGTCCTTCTTTCCATTTCCCAGAGGTCCATCGGTATATTTTCGTGGGGATTGGGATGTTCACTGGTGGTACGGGGTTTTGACCCATGGCCTCCCAGTGCTTCCAGTAACTATGGCTCCATGTTGGGGTGGATGAACATCCATTTGCCACCTATTTTGATGTTCACCAGGGGCTTCCTGGGTTTTGACCCATGGCCAAATTTGCCTCCTTGGGCCAAGGACGCGCTTTGCCAGAAGCACCCAGCTGTGAAGAAGTTGCGCAGCAAGCTGAAGTGGCGGAACTACGCCTTTGAGAAGGCGTTGCAGGAGGGCCTGGGCAACTTGGCGGCTTCCGGCCAGACCCAGAAGACCAATGAAGCGTGGGATTTTTATGACTTATCCCACAAGTCCAAGCAGGAAAGACGTTTAGGTCATACTTAGACCAATTGAGTGTTAGACTTTTAGGTCATATTTGGACCTTTTGAGTATGGGATTCATGACCTGAACCACGCGTTTAAGCAGGAACCCATACGTACCCTTAGACTTTAGTAGGATGTGTATGACCACCCTTTGACGCAGCCAAAAGTTGCTCACGTTTTGAGCAAAACGAACTGAGGCAACTTGCCATTCCTGAAGGTTCTGTGCGATGCCTCGGGGGGTTTGCCACCTTTGGGCCCTGGCACCAACTTCAGCCACGCCTTCGGAGTGCAGACCTCGCTGCTGGAGAGGCTGCTGCTGAGCCGGCGCATCATGGGCCCAGGCGGGTGCGCTTTTGCCTCTGATCTCCGGGGGTTTGGTGGGATGGGGCAGCCGCTATCTAGAGGGCATTTTACCCTTGACTGCCATGGACATGGTGACTTCATCTTGGAACCGTCATCGAAGACTCTGAACACCGTCAACGACTCGAGTGAGTCGAGAAATGAGGGTGCAGCTGCCAAGGCATTTGCTTGCGGTGTATCATGTTGTTGGGATATCCCAGTGCGGACCGCGGACTATTTTTATCCAATAGACTAAACTCGACCGCCGACTCGCTTCTCCCATTTGGGTATGTGTCAAAATACACCCCAAACTGGTGGTTGTCCTTTGGGTTTCCTTGCAATCCGCTTGAACAGGAAACCCCAACAATACCCAACCTGGTGGTCCGTTTCCCCCGCAAAAACTGACCTGAGCAGGGAACCGAAGAACGCCATTTTGGCCGTGGTCGGAGGTTGGTACCGTCTGCTGCCTGGGTCGTTTTATGCGGACCCGGCGCGGCTCTCCTACTGCGGCATGGAGTTTCGCATCAACCCTCGCTCCCTGCAGGCGAGCAGCCATTTGGGGCTCGGGATGTGAGAAGGGAGACGCAGCCCTTAAATCCCATGCCCAGTGGGGTAACAGCAGATTTGAACCGCGGCTCATTTCAGCAGGTGATTCTACTATGCAACAGGCCCCGTAGGTTCTCTCAAGAGACCCGTTCCTATTGGCATTTTTTGTATCTGATTCCTCTTCATCCTGGTTTCAGAAGGGATCTGATCATAGCGGGCTACAACAACTTTAGAGCCTCCGGCTCAGTCCGCCGACATTGTCCTCTCCCTTTTCTCCTTCTTCCTCTCTCCCTTGTCTCCCTGGTGTGTTCTGTCGTCCTCTCTCCCTCCCTCCGCTCCCCATCCTCCCCATCCCCCCAAGCCACTCTCTCCCCAATCTCCCTCTCTCGTATGTATGTATGTATGCATGTATGTATGTATGCATGTATATATGCATGTATGTATGTATGTATGTATGTATGTATGTATGTATGTATGTATGTATGTATGTATGTATGTAATGTATGTAATGTATGTATGTATGTATGTATGTATGTATGTATGTATGTATGTATGTATGTATGTATGTATGTATGTATGTATGTATGTATGTATGTATGTATGTATGTATGTATGTATGTATGTATGTATGTATGTATGTATGTATGTATGTATGTATGTATGTATGTATGTATGTATGTATGTATGTATGTATGTATGTATGTATGTATGTATGTATGTATGTATGTATGTATGTATGTATGTATGTATGTATGTATGTATGTATGTATGTATGTATGTATGTATGTATGTATGTATGTATGTATGTATGTATGTATGTATGTATGTATGTATGTATGTATGTATGTATGTAATGTAATGTAATGTAATGTAATGTAATGTAATGTAATGTAATGTAATGTAATGTAATGTAATGTAATGTAATGTAATGTAATGTAATGTAATGTAATGTAATGTAATGTAATGTAATGTAATGTAATGTAATGTAATGTAATGTAATGTAATGTAATGTAATGTAATGTAATGTAATGTAATGTAATGTAATGTAATGTAATGTAATGTAATGTATGTAATGTAATGTAATGTAATGTAATGTAATGTATGTAATGTAATGTAATGTAATGTAATGTAATGTAATGTAATGTAATGTAATGTAATGTAATGTAATGTAATGTAATGTAATGTAATGTAATGTAATGTAATGTAATGTAATGTAATGTAATGTAATGTATGTATGTAATGTAATGTAATGTGTAATGTAATGTAATGTAATGTAATGTAATGTAATGTAATGTAATGTAATGTAATGTAATGTAATGTAATGTAATGTAATGTAATGTAATGTAATGTAATGTAATGTAATGTAATGTAATGTAATGTAATGTAATGTAATGTAATGTAATGTAATGTAATGTAATGTAATGTAATGTAATGTAATGTAATGTAATGTAATGTAATGTAATGTATGTATGTAATGTAATGTATGTATGTATGTATGTATGTATGTATGTATGTATGTATGTATGTATGTATGTATGTATGTATGTATGTATGTATGTATGTATGTATGTATGTATGTATGTAATGTATGTATGTATGTATGTATGTATGTATGTATGTATGTATGTATGTATGTATGTATGTATGTATGTATGTATGTAGGTAGGTAGGTAGGTATGTATGTATGTATGCATGCATGCATGCATGTATGTATGTATGTATTGCATGTATGCATGTAATGTAATGTAATGTAATGTAATGTAATGTAATGTAATGTAATGTAATGTAATGTAATGTAATGTAATGTAATGTAATGTATGTATGTAATGTATGTATGTAATGTAATGTAATGTAATGTAATGTATGTATGTATGTAATGTAATGTATGTATGTAATGTAATGTAATGTAATGTAATGTAATGTAATGTAATGTATGTATGTATGTATGTATGTATGTATGTATGTATGTATGTATGTATGTATGTATGTATGTATGTATGTATGTATGTATGTATGTATGTATGTATGTATGTATGTATGTATGTATGTATGTAATGTATGTATGTATGTATGTATGTATGTATGTATGTATGTATGTATGTATGTAATGTAATGTAATGTAATGTAATGTAATGTAATGTAATGTATGTATGTATGTATGTATGTAATGCGATGTAATTTAAAGTAATGTAATGTGATGTTGTGTAATGTAATGTATGTATGTATGTTTGTATGTCTGTCTGTATGTATGTCTGTATGTATGTATGTATCCTTGCACTTCCCCTTTGCTCCCCAGTATTTCCCGCAAAAAACACTGTTTTTCCAGCGTTTTCGCAAAGATGATGTCCAAAAACACAGAGTTTTTCCAGATTTTCGGCAAAAGGATGCAGGAAGCCCAAGCCAGCAAAAAAGCCGGCAGGGGGAATCGAGCCTGGGACCCCTGTTTTGCGACACCGGGTCCCCGAAGACTACGTTTAGTGGAACGTCATCAAATTGCCGCGCGGTCCCCCCCACGTATCAGACGTCGGGTGGGGGGGGGGTTAGGGGGGGGGGTTATCCTCTATCCTCTCTTAGGTGTCCGACACGCGGAGCAATGTCGGCGGATTTATCTGATCATAGCGGGCTACAACAATTTAAGTGGGTTTTAACCCTACTGCTTCATAAGGCCCTCATAATCTCTTCTAGCCGACCGTCAATGGAGAACCCTGATTCTGGGACAAGCACCTACCAGCTGGCGCAAGATTTTGTTCATCCACACTGGGTGTTCTAGTGAGGCCTCTATCAAAAGATAGCAGCTATGTCTCAAACAAATGGTTTCCTTCCAAAAAAAGCGAACATACAAAAACCATCCCCCAAACGGTGCCAAGCCGCAAAGTCGAGCCACCCGAGCCACCCGAGCCAGCAGAAACCAGCTGTTGGGTTTGCTTCGGCGTCGCAGGTGGCGCGCACGGAGAGCGACCGCGCAGAGCTGGCGAAAGCGCCCGCGGGGAGCCCGCCCTTGCGGGTGATGAGCTGCTGCTTGCAGACCCTCCAGCCACTCGGATGGGGCGGATTCGCAGGGTGTGGGAGGGGTGGGGTGGGGTGGGGGGGGGTTGGGACCCTGTCGGGGTGAGAATAAAGTACAAGCCCCGTCCGGAAGAGACCAGGGCAAGGGAAAGGGAAAGTGCCATGGACACTTAGGGTCTGTTTTGCATTGGCTTTGTGCGGATCCAGGCTGCAAAATATACTCAAAGTCTCCATGGCACGGGGGTGTGGGGGGATGGGGAGGGGGTATGAAATTTCACGCGCAAGGGCTGGGCGGCACAGGAAACGTGGGTGAGAACGTGCATGGAAAGCCCTTGATTGGGAAAGGACGCGAATTGGTTGGGGGAGTTCTGAAGCCGTTTGAGGAATCGTGGATTTATCCAGTGATTTTCCTTTTCGGGTGGTTCTATGTTAGTTTGCAGGAGAGTATCTACGTTAAATGGGAAAAATCGACAGGTCCTCAATCATAGCCATGTGGCTGAAAAAGGGTACCAACCTTTTGGTTTGAAGATATGCCGAACATAAATTGTTGACACTTGGGGATCACCTGTGTTCAGTCAAACGCATGTCGAGGGAGAGGAAGATCTCTTGTGGTTGCAGCCCTTTGGGGGAAACAGGCCCAATCAAAACCTGGGGGAGCCAGAAACAGGTGCAGATATCCGACCTTTTTATTCTTTACATGGTTTTGGGTAGACCCCTTTGGCCATTTGTTTGTCACTCAAGCAATTTTGTGCGCCACTGATGTGTCCTTTTCAAAGTTAGTCTCAGAAGAAAACAAAAGGAACGCCTGTTAAAGGAGGTTCCAAATCCCTGTTTTGACACAGCCGTGTCAGTGTGCCTTTTTTGAGGGTACTTTTTTTTGGGCCGTGTTAACAGGACACCAAACGAAAGAAAAACACCTTTTTGAAACAAGCCCAGAAAGCGTACCTCAAGAAAAGACACCCGTTTGTTCCCCATTTGGGCCATTTGGGGATTGATCAACAGGTCCTTTGCAATTCGGGAAGCCACAAACAAAGATACGACTTTCACAAACATACTCATGGCCGTTTTGGGGCTGAACGGAATATGATGGAATCATGGTATGGCTGTGGCTCAAAGACATGATACCTTGGCAAGTGGAACCAATCACTCGAACTTGCATAACCCGAGCTCTTCAATGCGAGCCACATCTCCAGCCCCACACCCCACTACCCCAAGATAGACTTAAACTTAGGGGGGTTCCCTTTGGGGGGACACAACCACCCCTGGGTTGAAGTCTATCGCGGGGTCCAAAAGCGGCGCCCCGATCCCGTGCTTCCGCGCTTCCTCTGCGAGGCCTTCGGCGCAGATGCCCCACGAGGTGCTGGCGGTGGCCTGCACCGCGCAGGCGCTCAGCGTGGACGCGGAGACGCCCAGCGCGCAGGGCCACTGGGCCGCCGTGCGGCGCCTGGAGGGCAGCCCCTTCCCGCGGGACGCGGAGAAGGCGATAGCTCGAGTCAGGTCGAGTCGAGTGAAGCGGGGAAGTGACTGGGAAGGTGGTCACCAGGGTTCCGAAAAAAGCAAGCTCATTTTGCAACCATTGGACACATGTGGCTTTTCCACACCAAAATAAAGGGAAACCGCCATTTACAAGTTGCAATATTCAGGTGTATAATGTAAGGATCCCTGTGATCCCTACTGACGCGGCCATGGTTCAAAACCGTTTTGGGATCCGTGTGAGGAAGCAATCTTTGCTTGGGCGACTTGTGGTTCAAAACCGTTTTGGGATCCCATTTTGGTTAGTAGGCGAATTCACCACCCATTTTAGAACCTATTTTAGTGGTTGGATTGGGATGTTCACTGGGGGTACGGGGTTTTGACCCATGGCCACCCAGTGCCGTTATAGTAGGTAACCTGGAAGCACCGGGTGAGCCTTCGGAGATTCAGGGAATGACCTAGTTTTGACTCTTGACCATGGCGATATTAGTCTGTGGTCTTTCCGATGTTTGGTGGGTCAAACACCTTGAAGAGAAAGAACTGTGATCGAGTAGACTCCACCAAAAGGGGAACAAAAACCGCTGAACACGGGCGCCGGGCCAGCTGGTCGAGGCCTCAGGTCTGAAGCCAATTCAACCCGGTGTCCGGTTTCCAGGAAACCGCGACACTTTGGGAGTGGGTTAAAAAAGGTCCCCCAGAACCGATATGGACCAAAACCTGCAGTCCATATCCAGGTGGTTTTATTTGACCCGTCATGTGGCTAGGAATGTTGATAAGGAACTACCCCAACAGCGATTGGCGGACAGAAATTCCTAGCAAAACGATATCCACCAGAGAATCATGCCCGCGGGGCTTGTCTCCGAAGGAGTTTGAGCTTCCATACGTGTTGTTCTGTTTTTTCCGTGCCAGGATTTGGCAAAAAAAGGCATCCAGTGCTGCAACAACGAGCTCGCACTCCTCACTGCCTTCATGGACAAGGTCAGGAGGGTGGCCGGGGTGGCCGGTGCATAGAACTAACGTATGGCCCGACGGGAAATCTGGAGTATCTGGGAAACCATGTCGGCTTTGCGACAGCATTTCCTCAGATCTTCATTTTTGAGGACTCCACGGGCCACGATTCTTCCGTTGGAATTTGTGTGATGCAAAGGCTGTCGGGGGGTGTCTCAAAACAAGGGGTCCCCTGAAAGGAAACCAACAAAAACAACAAACGCAAGCAACACATGGGGCCACATGGGGCCACCAATGTTTGGAAACGCCCGTGTGCTGTTGCATGCGACTCGCTGCCGTCCCAGGTGCAACAGTTCGATCCAGATGTGATCGCAGGCCCGGTATCGTGTGCGCTGGTTGTGGCCAAGAGATTCTTTGCGAGGTCACAATGCCTATGCCTTTGACCTTGACGTCATGGCAGGGCGCATGAATCAGCTCGGATCTCGATCAGCGCCAGCTTCACGACCCAGTGCAGCGACAGGTAAAACTGCAACACACCAGGTTTGATCAGCTTGGAAGTTTCCAGGTTTTATAGCTGATGTTGCGTGATGTTGCAGCCAGCATGAGTTTGACAGAGCATCATTTACTCAGCTGAGGCTCAAAATTCAGCAGTGGCACAGGTTGGGGCGCTTGCGCCGGAAGGACAGTGGGGACTTGAGATGAAAGAGATTGCAGTTTCAAGGCTTTCATGCCCAAGCTTCAGGCGCTTTTTTCCAACGCTCTGATCGCAAGAAAACCATTTTTTTTTGGGCTAGTTTCGAATAGGTCTTGAGCGGTATATGTGGCAAGTGGGATTCCCCGGTGTCTCGTTTGGGGTCTTGGCCGAAGCGAGCCATTTGCCTTGGCAGGAACGGGTCCCTCGTGCCGAAGGACGTCAAGGTGGCTTCTGGGTTTCAGTCTCAGATGGGTCTTTCTTCGAATGGGTGCATTGTGCCTGTGGCGCCCCCCGGTGTCAATGTATTTGCCGTTTGGGTTTGTCTCAGAATGATGGACCCTTTAAACTAGGCGGGTTCCTTTTGGTTTCCCTTTCAACCTTTAAAAGTGTTCCCTCAAAAAGGCAACAAAAGCGGGTTGCAACTGCTGGTTGCAAATGGGTTTGTCTCAGCATGCCCGAATTGTTAAACTGACAGTGATTGCCTTTTGCTTTGCATTGATTACTGTGGATGGACAACATCCTGCTTGTCACCTTATGAATCTGTCTGGGACAATCCATCTACCGACTGGGGCAACATCCGGGGTAACGTGTCAAAATAGGAATTGGAACCCCCCAAAATGGATGGCCCCCTCAAAACAGCACACCCATATCTCAAGTGGGTGTGTCAGTTTTTGAGGGTACCCTTTTTGGGCTTGTTTCAAAGGAAACCAAGGGGATTTTTTCTTCTTTTTTCTCCGGTGTTTTTTTTTGAGACACGCTGTAGTGTTTTTCCCCAAAATGCAGCACGACATCTCGGCGGTGGCAAAAGTGTCCGAGGTGGGCAGCAAACTGGTGGCAGGAAGACTAGCCTTGGGCCCAGCTTCTGGCAGCTTCAGGTTGAATCTAAAAGGATCCCATCTATAAATGGCTGTGGATCAAAAATATGTACCCACAATGGAACCCTGGTAAATGGACACATGGACTGCAACCTGCGGTCCCCTGGTGGTTCAACTTTGACCCACACCCAAATATATTGCACATATGTATGATATTATGTGCACATATATATATATATATATTCACACACCTTATATCCCTTTCACACTGGTTGGAGAATCAAGCACTAAAGGCCCGCTGTTCAGTGTCACCGTCTAAATCCGTTTTTGTTTGGTGGGTTCAGGACCTTGCACAAATCGACAGCACCAAAAAATGGGTCCATTAGTTTTTCTAGCAACCCATTCAAAAAGGCAAACCTCCACCTTTGGAGAAAAGAACTCCCGATCAATCTTACGCAGCACAACATTCATTTGGAGACAAAGATGAGAACGCCATGATTGAGCAAAAACAATGTTTGAGCAAAATATGTTTGAGCAGAATATGTTTGAGCAAAATACGATTGAGCAAAAGGACAACCTCAATCTGCTTGAGCAAAAACTGGAGATGTTGGGCATGGGCGCTCTGGCAATGCCGTCGAGTGGTGCAGAGATAGATCGCTCGCAGAGAGTCAGCCGAAATGCGGCAGCCGTACAGGAAGACATGCCCGCACACAGAGAGACATCTGCCAGAGCTGTCGTGCGAGCTTTAGCTTAAAGGCCCCTGAATATCTCTAGCTATGATTCATTCAATTGGAGTGTTGGAGGCTTGGGTGCGCCTGGCGTCACTTTCCCCAGGCTTGCCTCAAGGGAAGCTGAGAGCCCCAGGTCTGCGACGTCATGCTGCAGTCGAAGGACCTTTTGCCGAAGATGGGGTGCCAGGTGCTCAGGACGCACGGGCACGGTTCCCTTCTATTTTTTTGGGAGGGGATTGTTTTGACAGGACACTGGCAGGCCAACAGGAGCTCCCTGTCTTCGAGACTGGTTCAAAGGGGGACCCCTAAACTTGAGACAATCCCAGATCGATCCACATCAATGGCTTGCCGAGCTGGTTTCTGTCCCATGGCCCAAAGGCTCTCCTCAGGCTATGACCTGCCGAACCTCGCTCGGGAGCAGCTGGGGGCGGAGTTGAAGATCGTTCGAAGCTGAGAGGAGACTGGGCATTCTGTGAGTCTACCTCCCCGAGAACATAAAAGCTGAAAAAATATTCAAAAGGCAAAAAATGTTCAAACTCTCTCGAAGCAACTCCATGTATTTTTTGTAATCTTCGAGTTTCTTCGCGGGGGGCGGCCGGGTGGGTGGGTGGGGCTCCTGGGGGGGTTTTGGTTCGTGGCTAGGTGGAGCCAGAGGCAATCGCCTCGTACTACAGCTCCGCCAGGCAAAGAGCACCAGGGCGGGCGAGCCGCGCCCCCCCGCAAACCCCGAACCGAAAAATCGTTTTTTTTCTTCTTTTTTATCTTTTTCGTTTTTTTGTTCCTTTTTTTTCCTTTATTTTTTTCTTCTTTCTCCCTTTTCCGGGTTAGAGACCCCCCAAAAAAAGAAGCAACATCAACAAAACATGGCGGTTGGTTTCCCTTGAGGACCACCAAAAAGGGCTGCCCTTAAGCCTGGATCCCCACCCAACAATGGTGATTTTCCATTGTGGGTTTTCCGTTCAAACCGGCTAAAAGGGCAACCCTTGCCAGAAAAAAAGAAGAGCAACCCATGTGGCTTATCACTGCCAGCCGAGTAGCCAAGTTGCTGACAATATTGGTCTGCTAGTCTATGTGTCTGGGGAGGAGGGGGGACAACCCAAATTCCCAAACACCAAGCCGTTTTTTTGCTCAGTAAGATTAGTGCAGATGATGCACTCGTTGGACGGTGGGGGGTTTCGGGCTTGGGCAAGAAAGCGTTGCCTCCTTCAAAGGAGGATATGCAAAATGGCACAACGGTTTTCCTTTTGGTTTTCCCTTAAGCCAGCCCCACAAAGGGTGGGGTACCCTAAACAAAAGACGGACACACTTCCATGGTTGGGAAGTTCCATGTTAGAAGGTTTCACTGTACCGTCTTCAAGCTACAGAATGTGAGGCAACCATGTGTAGGGGACTTGTTGAGCGTCCAAGAGCCACTTCCGGATGCCATTGGTTCACTACATGCTGATGCCACGCAAGAAATAAGTGGATCCAGACCGTCCGCATGATGCATTCCGACCACTCACCCATTTGGTGTCCCATTGTTACCAAGTCGAGCAGGTAGCTCCAAACGTCCCACACTGCCTTTAGCTTTACGAAACCTTGGAGGGGCGAACTCCCCTATGAAAAAGAAACAAGTAGAACTTTTCTTTTTAATATACAAACATAATTTCCCATTTTGTGCCAAGTGCCCATCTTGTGTTCATCTTGTGCCCATCTTGTGCCCATCTTGTGCCCATCTTGTGCCCATCTTGTGCCCATCTTGTGCCCATCTTGTGCCCATCTTGTGCCCATCTTGCAGCATTTTTGTTTGCCCATCTTGTGCCCATCTTGTGCCCATCTTGTGCCCATCTTGTGCCCATCTTGTGCCCATCTTGTGATCTTGTGCCCATCTTGTGCCCATCTTGTGCCCATCTTGTGCCCATCTTGTGCCCATCTTGTGCCCATCTTGTGCCTATCTTGCAACATTTTTGTTTGCCCATCTTGTGCCAAGTGCCTTAGATGAGCCCAGCGGTAGGGACCTGGAGACCTTGGTCCAGCTGAAGCTCCGGGGCGCCGAGCTCGTGGCACAGCTCACCCAGGCGTTGCAGATCCTGCCGTGGCCCAGGGGCTGGGCTTGGGGAGGGAGGGAAGGGCTCGAAGTGGGTCATGTGTAGCTTTTGGGAGTTGCTGGGGCCCAGGGGGAGAAGCCAGAAGGAAGGCCGGACATCCAGTTTTGCGTACACATGCCATGCTTGCGTCTCCTCTTAGCCATTCGTCACAGTCACACACGTGACGCATCGATCGCTTCGCATCGAAGGCGCTTTCGGGCTCAAAGGGATGGCGTGACGACATGATTGCCGATGTCCAAGCACCTCGGAACGAACATCCGTCGAGTCTGAGGAGAGTTACAGTTTCTGAGACTATTGAAGCCCTGGGTCTCTTTAAAAGCTGTATACCCCCAAAATGGAACTCGGTTTTCCTAGCTTTCCTTACCAATGAAAACAAGACGAGCCAGCCTTTTGGAGGTTCCAGGACCTTCCAAGGCACAGCTCCTTTGAGGGGGGGGGGGCCTTTCGCTCAGCCAAGGCGCGTGACTACACTGCCGACGGACTTCCCTGACACTCAGACTGATGGAGTCACATTCAGTTGTGTCTTTCTTTGAGCCCCCCCCCAAAAAATAAAATAAACACAGGTGATATCCCCAACAGCATGCGGTGCTCTTTTGAGTGCTGGCTCGTGGAACCCTGGTGGAACCCTAGTGGAACCCTGGTGGAACCCTGGTGGAACTCTGGATGAACCCTGGTGGAACTCTGGAGGAACCCTGGTGAAACTCTGGTGGAACTCTGGTGGAACCCTCGTGGAACCTTACCTCAGGGCCGCCCCGGACCACCCCGGAGCCTATCTGGGCTGAGACCCCAAAGCTTTCAGCTGTTGGGGGGAAAAAAAAACCAGTAAGTGAAGGTTAGTAAGGGACGATCCAAGCCATAAATAGCTGCGGCCGCACTCTTAGTTCTTTACATGGTTCTGGGTCGACCATTTTTGTACCGGGTTTTGATTGTGTCTTTCTTTGGAGTTGGTACCCCATTTATGTTCGGTTTGAAAAGGGAACCCAAAAAGAAAACCACTCATTTGCCCCTTTTGCGTGGTTTCAAAGGGGAAACCAACAATAAAACCGTTTGCGCCATTTTGGGGTCCGATGGTTAAACAAAGACACCCACATGAAACGTGCAGAACTCCCGTGCGGGCCAAGGACATTGTCCAATTCTCCAGCGCGGTTTACTACTGCAGCGAGGATGAGGGCAAGGTAGAGGTGGAGGCGGGGAAAAACAAGAGAAGTCGGGGCCTTCAGGCCTTCAGCATGGGCTGTTGGCAGGTGATCCGATTGGGTGAAGATGATGATGACTGCTCAGTGGCTCTGGCCAGCAAGAGGTGTCAAGCTGTTCTCAAGCTTGAGGCCTGAGATCCGTCCGAGAATTCTCGTTCTCTCCATGACTTCGCAGAAGTTTAGTAGTCACTCATCATTTTTGGCTGGCCACTGATGGCTTAAGTTTCAATGGCCAAAAATGTTTGGCACTCACTCACCGCAAACAAAAGAAAAAAGAAAAGAAAAAACCGGCTCGCGGACGCGCGGACTGTCACCACTGTGGTTAGGTCGACTATGCGACCTTCGACATCTCCGCGGTCGCGGGCGTCAAGTATATCGCCGCGAAGGGCACCATCAAGTTCGAGAAAGGCGAGTCCGCGAGTCGAGCGCCGGGAAAGTCTTGCAAAATCGGTGGGGAAGGAGAAATGGAATGAACCCAGGGGATTGCCTTAGGCCACAAGTGATGGTTGAAGTTTTTTGGGGTCATGAGCCATTTCTCATTCCCTGCATCTCTCGCACCAGCAATAAAAAAGTCTGGAGCAAGATTTTCCTTGAGAGAGACTCCGCACAGGTGGACTCTTCCCAATCTGCAAAACCTCCTCCCACCATTGGCCGATCCCGCGTTATTTGCGAGCTTTGCCAGGTGAGATGTCAAAGCTGCTGGTTATCACACTCGTGGAGAACAACTCCTTCGAGGCGAGGGTGGTCGCTGGAATGCCTGCGAACCTCGTGACACGAGGTTCGATCAAAGTTGGGAGTATTGTTGTTACCCCGCATTCCATGAACCCCTGTTTATTGGGTGTTCCCCTCCAAAAGTGATGAATCCCCACTAAAACCAGGGACATCCCCTTACTTTTATTAATGAAGAACAGGGGCCACGGGGGTTTATATTAATTCGGGGTCAACATTAGATGGTTCATTTGGAAAAAAAACAAACACGTGAATCGGGCTCTCTAGATTTCCAAGCACAAAAAACCAAGGGACTCACTCAACTTCTCATTTCAAAAGATGTATGATAATGACCATGGCTCACATATGCCCGTGTCTTTGTTTGGTTGGACCCCCCAAGATTCCTTGTGCTCCCATGCTCCCAGGCAACACTGGAATTTGGCGTGCGCCTCGCGCGGTCACGTGGCTGAGTTGCTTTGGGGCAAGCGCTCGCTTGATGACGAGGTGACCTTGTCAAATCCCACCAGCCACTGTCTGGGGCGAGGAGTTGAGGGGTTGGAGTTGGAGTGGGGTGGGATCATGGAAAACGTTGTCCATTGCAAAGAAATCATGTGCATGGTCTACATCTTTGAAGCCCCCGCTCGGATCAGAGAAGCCACTACCATCAGGGCAGTTCCAGTGCCATTGGCTTCACTTGCCTCTTGCAATCTCATGGGCATAACGTTCGGAGAGCACGGGAGCCAGTATTGATATTCTCCGTGTCTTGTTGAAGCAAGGCAAGCATGTAAACATGTACTTCTCTTTGTTCGGCTCATGCGGGCGACTGATGGCATGCCAGTGCGTGCACATCCTAAAGAAGACTCACGCGTATGAACCGTTGACCAGCTCGGCACACGAGCGACTCAGGCCAAGGAACGCGGTGCTGGGATCATACCTGCACTTGTGCAGAGTACTGGTTGCCGATGATGACACCTTTCCAACCAACAGGACATGGATCTCAGTCGAGAGACGATTCGGGTGTTGGGGTTGAAAGGCAACTCAGATAAAAAGCAAGCCCGAGCTCCTCCCCTTTTTGAGACAAGTCCATATTGAGGCGCCTCTGGTTCAGTTCACAGCGTTCCTGTCTTCTTTTGCTTCTTCTTGAAGTGTTGCCTCAAGTGTGAATGGGGTCGTGAATTCGATCGTTAAACAGGAGATACCATGTATCAGGGCTCCACTTTTGACCAACCCAAGGTAGACTTAAACCCAGGGGTTCTCCTTTTGGAGGACATGAACCACCCCTGCGTAAAAGTCCACCTTGGGTTAGTCAAAAAGTGGAGCCCTGCCATGTATGCTGATCTGCGGATAACATGGAACCCACAAGACCATCAGTTTAAGAAAAACCTGGCTTCGGGGGACCCCAAGTTGGTTCTACTAAAAGGGGGTCCATAAGCCATAGCGAGGAATCCGAAAATCCGCTCGCCAGGAATTCACAGCTCCTCAAGGAGGGCCGCGCTGCTGACATTCAGCCGATAGTGCCCTGGCCAGCGGTTTCACCGGTGAGTAAAACGGACGAAAGCCATGATATAGCTTCAACGTTTTGCCAACAAGTGAATGCTTGTGAGCAGATCAAACCACTAGATCCTTCACAGCCACAAGTTTTCTTTGACAAGAACAACCGACAAATTAGGAATGCCATGGTTGTGCATTGTTCCATATTTCCTTTCAGACCAGCCGAGGTGCTATGGACGGAATATTTGAGAATGAGTCTGAAGGCAAGGTGCGTTTGGTCATCTTGCCATTTGGCGCATTTCGCGAGCGTCGGGTCGGTCATTGTCTCCGTCTTTCAGACACAAGTGGATGTGTGGGGGTGGGAGAAGCAGAGACTATGGAGACACGGTTTTGGTCAAAACCGTTTTGGCCTCGGAAAAGGAACACGTTGAAGCGCTGAGGCAAATGATGAGCACACACACACACACACACGCAATAGTACCCGCACGTGCATGCGCACTTGTAAACTTGCCAACTCGCTTGTGCGCGCTCGGGAATGATACAAGATGCACGTGCGCCTCGCACTTCCACGTGCCGGCGCAAGCACCCCAGCGCAACCACAAGCACAGAAAGCCAAGCTGGAACACGAGCAGAAGCACAACCACAAACAGAGAAGGACGCGTTGTCTCGCAACCACTAGTCACAAACATGAGCACAAGCGCAAGGACGGGCACAAGCACAACCGCAATTAAAATCAAAGGCACAGATAAAACATGATAAAACGCTCTGACACACAGACAAACACACGCACAGACTCACAGACACACAGACACGCGGACACGCAGACGCGCACACACACACACAATCAGCTACACACAGAGATTCACACACACAAAAACACAGCGACACACACTTCAACTCCCGAAGGAGAGATTAAGTTGCGAGTGGGTTGGCTTTCGAGTGGCGAAAACGGTGGCTTCACTCTAATGTAACAAGGTCAAACATGAAGCACACACAGCAAAACAAACAACAACACCACCGGCAGGTACACAGAGCTGATCAGGCTCTGCTTCCCGTGCAATCAGGTAGCTTCGTTGGACATGGTCCCTGATTGCACGCTACGTCCCCCTGCTGAGATTGAAAGGTTGGTGACAGGGTAATTCTGTCACTCCGCGCACACACACGCAGACACACACACACACAGACACACACGCAGACACACACACACAGACACAGACGCAGACACAGACAGAGAGACAGACGCAGACACAGATGCACAGACACACAGAGACACACACACGCACACGCACACCCACACCCACACCCACACCCACACCCACACCCACACCCACACGCACACGCACGCGCACACGCACGCGCACATGCGCACGCACACGCACACGCACACGCACACGCACGCGCACGCGCACGCACACGCACACGCACACGCAGACGCACACGCGCACGCACACGCACACGCACACGCACACGCACACGCACACGCACACGCACACGCACACGCACACGCACACGCACACGCACACGCACACGCACACGCACACGCACACGCACACGCACACGCACACGCACGCGCACGCACGCACGCACGC